GCCTGAGACACTTCTGGCAGACACAAACCATATGTTTTTGCCATAATAAATGTGAACAAGTTGACAGTGTAAATATTTATTTAAAAATATTTTTGAGATTGTTTTAAGACATCAGTAATTCACTCTGTTTACTTGTCAACAAGCTCAGAATGAAAAATTAATTCGAATGAAAAATTAATAAATCTCGTTCTCCAAACTGAGGTTGTTTAAAGGGCCATCTACAACAGGTAAGATATTAATTATTTGTGACACATTTTTAGCCCCACTTCAAAGGAATATCTCTGTAAAGGCGCATAAAGCTAAACAAATTCACTGAATAGGATAAATGTTTTATTCCAGATTCTCTGTGGTGCATCCAACACTCAGTCACTTTGATGTGATTTTACTTTTCAGTAACATTTAACAGGCTTCATCCCTACATATTTTTTTCAAAAACGAGCATTAATCACTCTTAATGTGAGCAGGGATGGCAGGGCTCTGCTCTCAGCTAAATTGCGAAGCGATAGTAAATGACATGCGCAAAAAAAGTAGCACATCGGGGTGTTTATTGGATTAAAGCTTGACACAGAGACAATCCCCAACACAGAACACATAAAAACAGCAATGACAGCAARAAAAAAAGTCCCAGTCACCAAAAGCCTCTTTTTCTGTCCTTTACCCCCCTCCGTGTGCAGCGAGTTCCTTTTGCATCAGATGAATATGCGTTACCTGAATCGCCCACTCTCTCCAGAGATGACAAAGATGGTAACCCAAATGCTATATTTGGTCTTCGGCTGCATGTCTGTATTTCACACAGTGCAGGATGAAAATAAAATATTTTATTTGTTCCGAGTTGCAGACAATGAGAGTCTTCGGACTCGTTCCWCCACATGATGTTGGGCATGTCGGGCCCGCATTGATCTGTGCGGACACAGGCCACAGTGGGGGCACGCTCAGAAGCCAAAAGCGGTGGCGTTGCCTCCTCTGACGTTCTGAGAGATCTGTGAACACAAGATAAGGACAGCCACCCGCACCAGGGAAACAGAGCGAGAGAAATCACCCGGATATATAGAAAAAGTCTTAAACACAAACGATCGCAGACGCCTTTCTTTCTTTTCCTTTTTGTTTGTCTTTTCTCCGTGTTCCTGAGATGTTCCTGTGTCAGCAGTCAGGGAGAATTACAGGGATGACGACGCAAGCTCAGAAATGTTGGAAGGACAGGATGCGGACGCTTCCATCCTCCATCAGAGACGACCTTGGTCTAATCCCTCATCACAAACAAACCCAGAACTTTCTYCTGGAAAGAAAAACAAGAAATTTAGCAAATCCTAATCCACACTCAGAGGCTATTTAAATGACCATTAATTAATGCCAGAATATTCACTCAGAGGTCTTTTAACGTCTGTTTTTTTTTCTTCTTTTTTTGAGGGTTATTAAATTAAACTTTCAAACATGGTTGGTTTCATCTTGTTGGGGGAGTTTTTCAAAGGTCAGAGCCCAAAAAAAACGAAGAACTATTTTAGAGAAATGCTAATTTATCTAAAAGTTTATAAGTTAAGTGTTTAAACATGTTTTTTCCTATAAAGTGCAGCAGTCCTGTGTGATCGGCTCCGGGTGCTTTTAAATCTACGTTTAATATTTCTACGTATAGAAGACTTATTAGGTGGAAAAGCAGTGAATTCATGCCTGTTTCAAAATAAATCTCGACCCTTTATGGTTTGTGTTTGCAAAGGATCCACAATCAACCAATTAGAGCCTGTCTTTTGTTTGGAAGACATTTTGTATGTGTTCATTTATAGATTAAAAAAGCAGAATTTTTTGAATCCAATCCACGTCAGAAGGATCACACACACTCAAATTTTCATTCCACTCAGTTGTTTTCTTCTTTAAAAATAGAAAACTGGTGAATGACTGTTGAGAGGGGCGGCTTGTTTCCTTCTACTCTGCAGGTCTGAGCCTGTTCTGCTCTGTATTTCCTCACGTTGTGTTCCACAAAGGCAAGCAGGAGGCTCCATGTACTTTTTAGTCATTTATTTATATATATTTTTTATTTTAAAAACAGATAATGAGTAACAAAAATCATATTGTTATTCTTTTTTTCATTTTCTAAGCCAAAAACGAAGGTTTAACATTTTGTGCTGTTTTCATTTTCTAAGCCAAAAACGAAGGT